GCTGTATCAGTTCCTTGGTTGAATATTTGGGGTCACTCAAGTATACTATCATGTCACCTGCAAAGAGGGAAAGTTTGACTTCTTCCTTTCCAATTTGTATCCCCTTAATCTCCTTATGTTGTCTTATAGCTCTGGCTAGAACTTCAAGTACTATATTGAATAAGTATGGGGAGAGCGGACATCCTTGCCTTGTTCCTGATTTTGGTGGAATCGCTTTGAGTTTATATCCATTTAATTTGATGTTGGCTGTTGGCTTGCTGTAAATTGCCTTTATCATGTTTTAGTATGTTCCCTGTATTACTAATTGCTCCAAGACCTTCATCATGAAGGTGTTTTGGGTTTCGTCAAATGCCTTTTCTGCATCTAGTAAGATGATCATGTGGTTTTTTTTCTTTGAGTTTGTTTATATGGTATATTACATTGACAGACTTTTGTATGTTGAACCACCATTGCATTCCTGGGATGAAACATACTTGATCATGGATAATTGTTTTAAGGTGTTCTTGGAGTCTGTTTGCCAGTCTTTTATTGAATATTTTTGCATCAATGTTCATGAGGGAGATCGGTCTGTAGTTCTCTTTCTTTGCTGCATTTTTGTTTGGTTTAGGAATCTGAGTAATTGTAGCCTCATAGAAGGAGTTTGGTAATGTTAGTTCTGCTTCTACTATGTGGAACAATTTAAAGAGTATTGGTATTAACTCTTCTTTGAAGATCTGGTAGAATTCTGCGCTGAAACCATCTAGTCCTGGGCTTTTTTTGGTTGGGAGACTTTTAATGACTGATTCTATTTCCTTAGGGGTTATTGGACTATTTAAATAGTTTATCTGGTCTTGATTTAACTTACATATGTGGTACCTATCCAGAAAATTATCCATTTCTTTTATATTTCCCAGTTTTGTGGAGTAGAGGTTTTTGAAGTATGACCTGATGATTCTCTGGATTTCCTTATTGTCTGTTGTTATGTCCCCCTTTTCATTTCCGATTTTGTTGATTTGGATGCTCTGCCTTTTGGTTAGTTTGGATAAGGACTTGTCTATCTTGTTGATTTTCTCAAAGAACCAACTCTTTGTTTCATTAATTTTTTGTATTGTTCTCCTTGTTTCTATTTTATTGATTTCAGCTCTCAATTTGATAATTTCCTGGCTCTATTCTTCCTGGGAGACTTTGCTTATTCTTGTTCTAGAGCTTTCGGGTGTGCTGTTAAGTCACTAGTGTGAGATTTCTCAAACTTCTTTATGTGGGCATTTAGTGCTATGAATTTCCCTCTTAGCACTGCTTTCATAGTGTCCCATAAGTTTGGGTATGTGATATTTTCATTTTCATTGATCTCTAGGAAGTCTTTAATTTCTTTCTTTATTTCTTCCTTAACCCATTGGTGATTCAGTTGAGCATTATTCAGTTTCCATGAGATTTTAGGTTTTCTGTAGTTTTTGTTGTTGTTGAAATCTAACTTTAAACCATGGTGGTCTGATAGAATGCAGGAGGTTATTCCAATTGTTTTGTATCTGTTGAGATTTGCTTTGTGGCCAAGTATGTGGTCGATTTTAGAGAAGGTTCCATGGGGTGCTGAGAAGAAGGTATATTCTTTTGTTAGGATGGAATGTTCTGTAGATATCGATTAAGTCCATTTGAGTCATAACATCAGTTAAGTCCCTTATTTCTCTGTTAAGTTTCATTTTGGGAGCTCTATCCAGTGGTGAAAGTGGGGTGTTGAAGTCTCCCACTATTAATGTGTGGGGTTTTATATGTGTTTTTTTTTTACATATGTGGGTACGCTTGTGTTTGGGGCATAAATGTTCAGAATTGAAACTTCATCTTGGTGGATCTTTCCTGTGATGAGTATGTAATGCCCTTCTTGATCTCTTTTGATTGATTTTAGTTTGAAGTCTATTTTGCTGGATATTAGGATGGCTACACCCGCTTGCTTCTTAAGAGCATTCGATTGGAAAGTCTTTTCCCAGCCTTTTATTCTTAGGTAGTATCTGTCTTTGAATTTGAGGTGTGTTTCTTGTATTTAGCAGAAAGGTGAGTCCTGCTTTCCTATTCATTCTGTTAACCTGTGTCTTTTTATAGGTGAATTAAGTCCATTGATATTAAGGGATATTAATGACCAGTGATTGTTCATTCCTGTTATTTTTTGGTGGTAGTGTGTGTGTAATTCTCTTCTTTGGGGTTTACTGTTGTGGCATTATCTATTGCCTGTGTTTTTGAGGGTGTATCTTACTTCCTTAGGTTGGAATTTTCCTTCTAGTGCTAAGAAAGTCTCTTTTAAGGAGAGAGTTCTAAAGCAGCTTGAGTGACAATTTCAGTTTGGGAACCATCTTCAACTGAGGGAAAACACATTTGTATCCTAAGGTAGGAGCATAGACTGTCAGAAGGTAGATCATTTGTATCTTTCATTTATTTACTCACTTGATTGTGGTGTGACATAGGTTAGTTTGTAAGGCCTTCTATATTTGGGGCTTGATTCAAAGTTAATTCTCCATGACCTCTTATGATGTACTGTGCACGTTATTTCATGCTCTGGGACTTTTTCTATGTTCCTTTTCAAGACTGTCATTTCTTCATTCTTGCCTGATGAGTTGGGTGTGGCTAACTTCTCCACTTCAAGCACTGCTTCTTTTAGAATGCCACCTCTTCAGTGTTTTCTTCCCATCATTCACATAACTCCTTTATCATCATGTCATTATTGCCCTGACATTTCATAGATCACTTCAAAATGGCTAACTTGCATGTCTGTTTTCATCAGTAGTGAGTTTCATTTGAATATAAGTGGTATTAATTCAGGGTACATGTGGTTAACCTTAGTATATGTAATGTATAGCACTGACAACAGTATTTAATCAATAAATCATTAAATGCATTAGATAGTTTTATAGTGATTTAATTAATATGTCATTTATCTTCAAAATATTTTCTATGATACATCCATTCTGGTTAGTTGCCAATACTCACTAGAATATTTATCATCATTTTATTCAAAATAATGAAACATAAAATGTGATTGCTCACATTAGATGGAAATTATATTCATGAAAATAAGCAAAAATAGTAATTTTTGTAACAATTCTTAATTCAACATTTCTCTTTACTAAAGTATAGAATTTCTATGCACATTTCAGTGCATCAGGATAGAGAGAGCTATTCATCAAAGTTACATTTTAATCTTTTTTTATGGTTTGTTTCTTTCATTTTAGGCTATAGAATTGAGTTAACATTTAAGGCATACATGTTCCAGAACATGGTTCTTAACTTGGAATCTGGTGTGTTTCCAACTATGCATGCCAGAAACAGAGTCCTGGATGGGAAGGTGGGAGAAGAAAGATTGGAGGTGTGCCAAGGGAGTTGTGAAAAGCAGCAGTGATTCAATATTTTAACTACTTCTTTTATATTTTGAGATCATAATATAATTATATCACATCCCCCTCATTTCTCCCTCTGAATCCTTCCATATACCCGCTTTTGCTCTCTTTCAAATTTGTGGATTTTTTTCATTAATTATTTTTACATGCATACATACATAACTAAATACAACCTGCTCAGTCTCTATAATATTACTTATATGTATGTATTCAATCACCCTTTGTCAGTGATTCAGTTTTAAGGAGCTTTCACTTTAGTCTGTTTTCAATGTCTAGCCCAAGCAAATCATACATGTAAAGTGAGGACAACAGATGGATCATTTTTTAAAATACCGTTATGTTTATCATGCTGTAATTTGTACAGGCAAAATATCTTAGGTACTATCACAGTAAATGGAGCCCAGACTAAGGGAGAAAGAGAAATGGATAATGCCAATGTCTGCTTTGGCCTAGTCACCATGGCTTTTTTCTCTTGGAGTCACTCAAGGTTGTACAATGCCTTAGCTTTTCATTCATGTTAGTGGTTCTCAATCTGTAGGTCAGGACCCCTTGGGGAATCAAATGATTCTGTCACAGGGGTCACCTTGGACCATCAGAAAACACAGATATTTACATTATAATTAATAATAGTAGCAACATTACAGTTATGGAGTAGCATCAAAAATAATTTTATGGTGGGGGGGGGTCACCACAATTTGAGGAACTGTATTAAAGGGCTACAGCTGTAGGAAATGCTAAGTACCATTGATTCATTCCCACCTATGTGCACATGAGTAGTAAACACTTCTGAAAGACACCATTGGAAGTCGTCAGTGGAAAACTGAATTTCAAGAGCTTGAGTACTGAACAGGCTTGGATTGCCTTACTCACTATATTCCTGTTATCCACCTGTTTGCCACCATGAACTACCTTGGCCATTATTTTCTTCATTTGTCATTTTTCTGGCTAGAATATTCTTTCCTTACATCATGGTACCTTGAGTTCTGCCTTCAAGGCCTCAGGAGAGATCACAGAGACCTTCTGTACCCACTTCATCTAATGTAGTCCCTTCCTTTCCCTCTTCTCCTCAGTCAGCAGCAGCACTGTCCCTTCTGGGAGGCAGGGAGATCCTGGTGTGCCTTTTTAGTTTCTGGTGCTTCCTGGTATTCCTTCTGAAGCACTGGCTTCCAGTCTCTGCTTGGCCTTTTCCCCTTGTCTCTGTGCCCTCTTCTTACAAACACCATCAGTCCTAAGTTTAGAATGGCTTTAGTCTCAAGATCCTGAGCTGGCACATCTGTAACCTCTGCTGCTGGTAGATATTTCTAATTAACACAATTCCCTTTGCTTTTATATAAAGCATTGATATTGTTGAAGGAAATGTATTTATTGTCTATCTAACTTTGAAAGGAATAATATTGATTTTGGGAAACAATCTTAAGTAAGTTCCATTAATAAACATACTGTATCAGAATCTGAGATATTGGAGGGAGAGTGCCTAGAGCTATGATCTAGATGCTTTATAGTTGCTCTGGACATGTGTTGAAGTAAATAAATGGTATCAGGAGACACAATCTATTATAGTCTTCTCTATACCTTTTGCTCATGTGGAAAAGCTATTCATTGTATTAATAATCTTGAAATGAATGGATATTTGTGCAGAGGCACAGCAGAGAAGCAAACAGCAGTGCCGCTGATGGGGACAGTGGTAGTGTCTTCCTTTTGGATGAAAGCATCAACCACCAGAGTGAAGCTGCTGACTCCATGTAGAACCATTTGGCTACCATTGTAGACAACTTACTTATTCATAAGAGATAAGGAGTTTTGTTCAATAGCATAGTAGGCTCTTCTTTTAAAAGCAACATAAATTATAATTGGAAATGGACCAAAATACAAGACATTTAATGGAACACACACACGTGATCTGGAGCAATCTTAATTGGACTTGATCTCATGAAAAAATTGTCTGAAAGGCAGCTGAATTCCAACTGAAAAATCTCCAGAGAGAGAATTCTGATCCTGAAGAAACTGCTGTTGGAGAAATATAAGCAAGGAGTGGAGCCAAGGTTTGCCTGAGGAGCCCTGCAGAGAATGGAAATTCTACAAAGGATAGATGGTCAGTTTTGAGTCCCACTGAATGAGGCCGCACTAATAGATGGAAGTGGGCACACAAGCCCCAGGACCCCAAATCCTTCAGGTGCTCTCCGTCTTCTTCCACCATCCTGGAGCCTGGTGCAGTCCAAAACAAGGTAAGTTAACCATGAGAATAGAAAGAAAGGTAACTTGGAAAATTCAGTCTCTCTCTGCCATGAGTCTCTCTCTGCACCATGCCTCTGGAGCATGGCAGACCAGGGGTTGGGGGCAGAAGCTTCCATTGTAAGTTAAGTTTGGAGTTTTTAATAACTCTCTTTCTGAATGTACCCACCAGTTCCAAAGCTGAAGAGTTTAAGTGAATCAAATACGAGGGGCATTTTTGTAATTCAAGACAAGGAGCTAGTGAAGGATTTACTGAGGGAGAGAACTACACTACAGATCATATTTCCAGGTGTGTAAAAAGAAAAAATAAAGTGAGTCAGTGAGTTCATTTTGCCAACTCTACTCCTTCAGAATATTATAACTACATATTCAAAAATCACATATAAAAGCATACATTTATGCATGTATCATGTGAAGAAAACATCTCTTCCATTTCATTTTTCTTTTTAAAATTTCTGGCTTATTGTTATTCTCAATTGTATTTCCACATGTTTTCCTTCCTGAATCCTTTAGGCAAAAGAAAATGAGTGTAAAGGTTTCATATGTAATAGTCTATATTTTCCTTTATAATTAGAGAAATTTTTATTTAATCTGAACCTCACATGTAATGAGATAAATTTGATATCCTGCCATACTTGCATATAAATGTTTCTAAAATACAAATCATCTCAAATCACCAAGATCAGAATTAGATTTGAAAAATGCATTCAATAATGTGTTCAAAATGAAGTAGAATTAATTCTAATTGAATTCACAGAGGACTTGAAATTATACATAAATCTGTAATATTGGCTTATATTAGATATGAATTAGTACAGGATTTGCATTCAGAAAAGTATACCGTGTTGATATGTGAGGACCATTTAGCCAGAACATTACAAGTGTTAGACCTTAAATCCATACCATGTTCCATCACCTAAATGTCATTAAACAATCTGTTAATTTTTAGTTTCCAATGTTAAATCCTTTAAAAACTAGAAACCTTGAAACAATGAAAAACTTAGAGTGACTAAGATTTATATATTACTAGAAGATAAAACATAAATAGGAACTTTGCTAGCCATGATGGTTCATGACTGTTATCCTAACACTGAGGAGGCAGAGACAGGACCACCACAAGATTGAGGCCAACCTAGCTAGAATACAAAGCAGGTTCCAGACAAGTCAGGAAGACCTTGATGTGAATATATATATGGAGAAATGTTTTTTAAGAGGTGGCTATTTTCAGACCTTAGAAACTAGCCTATAAAATACTGAATTTAGATGTGAAGGCCAGCAGCAGTCTGTGCTCTCAGCATGCTGGCAATAAAGAAATGTCTTTTGGAACTGACAATGGTAATCTACTCAAAAATACCCTTCAGATTTTGCAAATTGGTCCTACGCATGAAAAACTACATGTTTTCTCATGATTATCATTTTAAGTGAGGTGTGTAAAAATATTTTAGTATATAAAAGATAGTTACTTTAGTGTCTCATTCTCAGTAGTATAATTCATGAAATGAAGTAGGCAGTCTGTTGCAATAGCCACACATGAAAAATTAAGTTCTCAAATATAACAAAAAATGAGTAAGTAGTGACATTCATCATTTCCCTAAAAATATAGTTCACCAAATTTACTGGTTTTAATTAAATAGCATTCAGAGTTCAAGGGATCTTTAGACAGCTCTATTATCTTCTTGGAGACTAGTCTCCACTTCCCTCTCCTTAGTGTATAGAACTTTTGCTAAGAATAGGAGTGCTTTAAGCAAAGTCCTCACTGTGGCTCTCATGCCAACAGAGGTTAATGGAGGCTGTGAGATGCAGAGACATATTCAACAGGGATTCTGTGGGTGCTTTTGTTTATCTTACACAGGTTCCTCTTTTGTTCCTTTGTCTTTCTCTAGCTCCCAGTGGAGACTCAAGAAGGGACTCATCTTGATGTTATGCAAGCATGAAGACAAAGTCTAGAAAAAGGAAGAAGCATAAGAGGGACCCAGATTCTCTCCCTCCACTCTTCATGTTTTGAAGATAATTATTATAAAGTTAATTTGCAGAGATGGACTTCTTTTTCCTGACTATAAATGCATCACAGTTCAATCCATGCCCGTTAAACCCCTAAGCAGTCCATTTAAGTGAATTTGAAGGACTCATAGAAACCTAATGCTGCCCATAAAATTGCAGAAAAAAAAATTTAGAGTGCTTTTTTGTTGTTGTGGTAGAGTTGACCATTTTTAATTTCCAGACTTTGGAGTAGATATAAATGCTTCAACTCCCATCACTTTCTCATATACAAATGTATAAATACTCCATTAATATGGTATAGTGACTCATTTATTTTAAACAACATGATGAGAGATTAGATTTTTGTGTGACTCTTTTCTAGACGACAAAATATCCCAGTGAAGACAGATTTTATAGAGCCAAGCCTTGTCTGTCTATCCTCTTCCAGATTATTAAGAGCCATTATTGTCCAGGAGAAGCAATATAACTGTTCCACCAATGAGTAACTTATGTCCCTAGATTGCATTCTTTATTCAGGGCCATTGCTGATGCACATTTTTTTTCTGTTGAAAATGGTCACTTTAAACATCACAAATCTATGCCCAGAATACTCTTCCTCAGCCATCCTTTAAATTGAAAGATAAAAAGTCAGTGATTCAAAGCAGTTCTCAAAAAGAAGGGAAAACTGTTTCTAAAGACTATTAATTGTAAGAGGGCTTTGCATACTCACCTCTCAGGTGTGAGCAGCAGCTTCCCATATCTAGTACAGACATCATGTTTTGATGGCCAAAATTTGAATAGCCATTATTTCCTGAGATGAATTTACTTTTAATGGCAGTTAGGAACATTGCCTTCTTAGGTTTTATTATTTTCTCTATACTCGCTGTCACCAGACACTGGGATAATTTAGCATCCCATTAAACAATATGAACAGAGGGTTTGGGAAAATTAGTGCATGAAAACATACAATGTGGTGTCAACTGTAGGCAATGTTGATCATTTGTGTTTATTTGGATTCATCTGTCCATGTACATTTGGCCTATGAAGCCAACGGTTGCTCTGTAGAGGCTCTACTCATATTGCTGCTGTCACAGTTCACGGTTATCTTGCCTCGTGTCCATTCTATCTCTTTCCACCTTTGTAAGGATTTCATGTTGATGGTGGAGCATGACCTCTCACACTATCGTCATGGTTCTCTTTATCATGTGCAACCATGATACACAGGGCAATTAATTTTCAGTGCACTGAAGTGTTGGTTAAGGGGAGACAGGGCAATTAGTCTGATTTTCTCAGTTTCTTTAATATGATGATAAATGGATGGAAAGTACACACACATACAAACACACACACACACACACACACACACACACACACACACACACACACCAAGTCAATAAGTATTGGCCAATATTACAGCAATCCTATAATGGCTTGTTTCCTCTTTTCCTCCCTAGTTTCCTGACACCTAAATGAATAGGAGTTAACCAACTAATTAAACAGTGCTACAGAAGTCTTTGCCCTCAGGATTCTTCTCTGAAGACTCTGAAGGTATCCCCATTACTTTCTTTACCCACCACCACCCATGCTCAACCACTCCTTCCTCCCAATGCTACCCCTCCTACATTGATGTCTTTGTGTGTGTATACAGCTCTTGTGCAGATAGCCACAGCTACTGTACAATTACATAATTATATCACCCATGCCACAGCCGAAAGTCAGCACATATAGTACTCCTTCCCATCACTTAGCTCTTACAGTCTTTCTACACCCTTTGCCCTGGTGGTCTCTGGGCCTCGAAGGTGAAGATAGTGATAACATACTTAGGATCTAACACCAAATAATAACTTATTTTTGATGTTTTGACTATTTTGACTGTCTCTATTAGCCTTTACCCATTTAAAAAGAAGCTTCTCTGGCCAAGGTTGAGAGCAATCTAAAGACATGAACATTTTCAGAAGGTAGTTTGGCAATGTGTCCTTTTTCATAAAATCATTAGTAGTACCCCCTTAGGGCCTGTGACTTCCTCTGCTATAGATTTTTTTTTTTTGCCAGATTTCCAGTACCGGGTATTTATTCCTTCCAATGAAGGTCTCAAATCCAATTAGAAAATATTTAGCTACTGTCAAAACAATCAGGCACTATGGGCCCCATGGCCAGAGCTTGCCTAAGGGTAAAGCTCTGAAGGGTAAAGACAGAATTTATTTGAAACCACCATGCCGTTGCTTATCTTAGCCACAAAATAATAACACTGATGTAATCTAAGGCAAGTGTGTCTCAATATAACTCTTCTCTTAATTTTCCAAATACCTCCTTTCATTGTCTGTAGTCAATGGCAGGAGTCATGTCTCAGAACATCCTGATGATGGTTGTGTAATTTGATTCTATAAGGAAATAACCCATGCACCATAGGAATTTACAGACCTGGCTAATAGCTAACAATGGAACTCAAGAAGAAAATGAGAATAAAAGTGCTTAAAGGTCAAAATACAGAGGTGAAATATAAGATGAATATGAGAAAACTGACTGACTGGGGGAACTCATTTGTGCCTCATTATTAGATGATCTGGAAATGACACTAAATTCTTTCTCTCATCCTGCTTTGTTGAGGTAAGTCCTTAGAGCTGGAATATAACAAATTCAATGAAAAATCTCTGACTCCTCAAAATGGTATCAAGAAAGAAGTCAAGAGTATCAGAAAGATTGTAATGTCAAAATGAACTTAATGTGTAAGATTTAAGCACTCACAACCTGATACAGACATGTAATAGAAAACCGAAACCAACAAGCTAAACAACAACTAATAAAAGAAAGAAAAAGAGAGAGACTAACAAGGCAAGGGGAAAGGCAAGAAGGAAAGGAAGGCAGCAGAGGAGCCACATGTGTGCTCTAGGAGGAACTGAGGAGTAGTCCACTGATTTAAGAAGCTTGGGTCACTCTGGGTGTGCCTTATGGGCTGCGGGTGATGATAAAGTTATTCCTATCAAGTTAGGCTTCTTACTATCAATAGATGATGGTATAGTTGAAAGCAGATGAAGCCAAGACAATGACACAAAGCAAGCAATTATAGACTTGGTATCAAGTTGTCTTGACCTTCAAGAATCTCTGACTATAGCTAGTAGGACCTGCTATTCTCAGACATGGGGTAGATGTGAATCTGACCAAGAAGAGGAAAGAGAGAAAGATGAGAAGCACAGAAATGTGTTACAAACTGCACATATAAGAAAATATAATTCTCAATTCAATCTCCACACATCACATCTCAAAATCCATATCATTGTCACCTTGACAAATGTCACATGAAGTATATCCCCCTGATTGTTTTTCACAAAGACCTGAGTAACTAAACACTGGAGAATGAAAAAACACAGACATTTCTAGGACAGTTTAGATGAAACATACTAGTGTCATGGGATTCCAAACATCATCATGGCTCTCTAGTTAAAAGAGAGGATAGGTACAGTGTGGCCCAAGTCCATCTCACATTACATCCAAGTGTATTAATAATCTGCCTGTGGTTATTTTTTGGTTCCCATGTGAATGATTGAAAAAGAAATAGTTATCAGCAGGGAGAACCCACATGTTATGTATGGACCGAGGAATAAAAGCCATTAAGGAATCAAGAGCCAAGTGGAAGATGCAGAAATCACACTCCTGACTTGAGGAAATTATAAATCAGACACAAGTCTGTATCATAAAATATGATAATTAGTGCCATTAGTAGCATCAAATATTCAAAGGATGTAGAGTTGTTGGTCAACATTACATTCCCATTCAATTCACTAAGTTTGACTCTGTAAAATGTATTATATTATATAGCCAATTATAGTACATTAGTGTGAATTTGTTGAAGAGGCAGTTCTAGCCACAGATTCACAGCTACTGTCTGTTACCATCTGCTACAAAAGCTGTTATTGGGGTAATCACTTTGTTAAATACCAGTGGATTAGTAGACGTTGGCCTTTCCTATGGGAGTACTGACCTTGCAGGTACTCTCTTTACCTAATTCTTATCAATAACGAGGGCTTAGTTTAGCTTTATTCATAAGATGGAATCTGAAGTACTCATGACTCTTCAAGGATGTGCTAACGGAACTGTTCTTTGTTGTGGCAGAGGGTATAAACAAGCTGATCATTATGACAATCCATAGACTATAAAAGTACACCAGTAGTCATGTTAGTTGACTATATGAACAGGAAATGGGAATTATAGTAAATATTTTAGTGCAACAAGTATCAGAAGTTTGGTGATAAACCTCATCACTTCAAGAGCATCCAGACCTTTGGAATGCCAAGCCTCAGGTGTTCAACCCTTTGAATTTTGAGATTCAGTATAACTAATGAATATAGGGAGTGCTGTAGTGAAAAAGTTACTGTGAGTCTCCAAGAAGTTCCTTGGGTTTCTGAGGAAGAGATTAAATCTCTGTAAAAGAAAAGTCTCATTTGAACAAACAGTTCTGCCATGACATGTAGTCCTGCACGCTGGTGACTGACCATAGCATGCTAAGTGGCTGTGCCTCTGCATTTCCTTCCTGTGTTGTGTTTTCAGAGCCATTGTTCCATACTTAAATCATGAGCTGTTTCATCCCACAGCTGCCACACCAGGGAGAAGAAACAAAAGACTCACATATTGAGAAGGAAAGTTCTGAGCCTCTATTGCTTAAGCAAGCCATTCAGACCATCTCAAGATCATCACTTATCCGTTTAAAAACCTACCCTTCAACAAATGCTGAGTCTCTCTCTCTCTCCCCCCATCTCTCTCTCCCTATCTCTCATGCTCTAATATACAAAACTGAGTTGAATATTTGGCATGTATTTTCAGTATATATTTTTCAATATATAATATTTCAATACATAATATGTTTAAATTTCCTTTTCTTTCTATAAAATTATTTTTCCTTGCATGCTCATCTAATTCCCATTTACACACACACACACACACACACACACACACACACACACACACACACACACACACATATGGAGCTACACTCTGATATTTACTGTATGTGCTTTCCTTTGACTGTTAATAATTTCTCCTGATGAGTATATTGAATTCCACACACACACACACACACGGAGCTACACTCTGATATTTACTGTATGTGCTTTCCTTTGACTGTTAATAATTTCTCCTGATGAGTATATTGAATTCTTAATTAAGAATAATAAAAAATGTATAAACATGTATTGAAAAGTACAACCTGCTATATATTTTAAATATTTTTGTCTATTTTATCCTCCATATCATCTCAAAAGTCTTATCTGACAGCTCTAATATATAGACCATCTGTATTTCTATTGACTATTTTTAAACACTTGACTGTGCTCACATTTTCTTGTCTCTTTGCATATCTGGGTATTGTGGATAACTTGTATGAAAGTTGTAAGTTTTGATGAATGTCTCAAAATATGAGGTTTATTCTGAGGCAAATGGATTGCTGTGGATCATGTAGATTTTGTCGGGTGTGTATATTTCCACTATGACATTTGGTCATTGTAGAGCAGGGTCCAATGCACTCTGTTCCTCATAGTGTCATTGTGTACTTGAGTAGCTTAAAACTAGACCAACAACTTGGGGAAACGATTGTGTAGATACTAGTGACTTCATGTGCTGCCTTCCTCTCTGTCGTATTTCCTCTCTCACATGTTCACTGTTTCAGCATTTCTATATTCAAATTTATCTTTCCTCTGTCAAGGAAGGCTTCTTCTATTTATTATGTTCTCTTGCCTTATACTGCAGACCATGAAATATCCTCAAAGTGAGAGTGTGAGTGAGTCTGGAGCTCATCTGACCCCCTTCTCCTTCCCTTAAGGTTGTGGGCTTCAACTGGTTGCCATCCAATGCCTGTGAATAGTTGCATTATGTATATTAATCAGCATTTCTCTTTAAAAATCATAGCAGAATAATTCTCATCCTACCTTTCCAATTTTCGCATTCGAGAACAGTCTGTATGTGTTTCCTTGGGTGTGATTGCAGCCTTTTGTTTTGTTAACTTGATCAGTGGCATCGATTATGTCAATATTGGTTTCTTACATTTTATGGTCAGTATTCATTGTATATTTTCATATTATCTTTCTTTTATATTCAGCTAATTTGTTTATTTCTCCGGCTATTACTCTATTATAAAGAAGAACCATATATCATCTACTTATGTATTAATATTCAACGTCAGAATCATTGCAGTTCCTTACTTCAATAAATGACACCGTGTTCAGTATCCTTAATGTCTGTTCTTATGTTTGTTCATTGGTAATGAAATCATGTGACTTTATATGTTTATTAAGCATTTATATTTATCTTCCGTTATTTCTCTTCTTTGGTGATCTTCACGGTTTTAGGTAAGTTATTAAGTGAATTTTCAGCATTTACTGGATATATTTAATTCCAGGCTACCACTTTAATTTCAGTCTAGGAACTGAGTTGGGATGAATGATTTCTCACTCAGATCTATGTTCAAAGTCACAGGGCTTATTCCTAGAGACAGGGGTGATACATGAAGACAACCTTTAGTTATCATCCCTCATTAGGAAATTTGTTGTCTAGGAAGTAATGATTCCCTTCTCATGTTCACTCTATGGAACTCTGCATCCAGAAGCTCCTGGTGCAGTGGTGTTGAAGCCTGGTGCGTCTACAGCTTCTCTGTCGTGTCAGCTCTGCTTGTTTTCCCTCACCTTGCTCGGAGCTTTTGCTGACAAATACTGAATAATAACCTCTTATTCACCAATCTCTTTCAGCTCCATGGGAAACAAACTTGAATGAGTTACTCTTATTACATGATTACATCTTTTCTTATGTTACTCAGTTATTTTACTAGTCAGTGTGTGTATGGGGTGGGGGGATGCATGCTTGTACACACATGAGCACAGGCCACATATGTGGAAGATAGAACACATCCTAAAATTCCATATTGAGACAGTCTCTCTTGTTTGCTGTTATATGCACCAGGCTGTCTGGCGGGAGTTTCCAGGGATTCTCCTCTCTCTGCCATCCATCTCTATCGTTGGGGTGCATTGGGATTATGGACATATGCTTCCCTGTGTCTTGCTTTATGTCCATTCTAGACATATGTGCAACTCAGTTCCTAGACTGAAATTCAGTTTCTCACCGGTGTACAGAAAACACTTGTACCCACTGGGCTACCTTCCCAGCCCTTTACTCTTTCGCTTTCAACTTTTAATCTTGCAGTAGTGAATTTAAGCTATATTTAAATAGCTTAAATGGTTTATTTTCACATGTGAGTCTTTATCTATTCATTGTTAATTTTTGTTAACTATATATGCTAGGGGTTCTATTTTATTTTTCTTTGCAAGACAAATCCATTTTCTAATCCTGTTTATAAAAATGGTTGTTTCCCTGAGTTATATGACATATCCTTTATTACTTAATGAGCAATCTGCCTCAACTCCTGTCCTTCCATTCATTCAGTCAATTAGTCTATGCCTGAACCAGCATCACACTAATAATTTTATCATATAATGCTATATCTGTCTTAATGAGTATTGAAAATTGGTGACTCATGGAGAGCTTTCTTTTTATATAAACTACAATTAATTTGTCCAGCTCATCCCTAAATATAGCTGTTGTGTTGAATGGAATAACAATGAATTTATAAATTAAGTTGAAGTCAATTAAAACCTTTCATCTCTTAGTCATCAGATTCACAAGAATATTAAACCTTGCAATTAATTTGAATCTGCTTTGAATTCTTCAGTGGAAGTCTGAAAATATTTCATATACTTCTCAGACAGTCTTTGCTAGATTAATTTCTATGCAATTGGTAGTTTAGTTGTTATCTTAAATGACATCTGCTTTCCATTTCATATTCTGGTTACTTATTGCCAAAAAAGAGAACTCGTTGACTATGTTTGAATGATGATTTCTTGAATTAGAAGATAAGTTTTAAGAAGTCTCTCAGAAGGCATTAAAAATGAAGAAAGGGACAGAAAGGTAGGAAAAGAAGGAAAATACATGGAGAATGTTTTTGAAACTGCAATACCTTTACAGAAGGAGAAACAAAGCATAGGTAAGGACAGAATATCTGAAAAAATATTACCGATTAATTGTTTCAGTGAATTAAAGAAAAGCTAACAAATCACTCAAAAGGATAGATCAGAGAGCAGAAATCTTATCCAGATACATCACAGTGATGTAAGATTATTGTGGACAATTTATAACTATTTTCAAAGAGAAACGTAAGATTAGTCATAGTGAGTTCCAGGAAAAGGCGCAAAGCTACACAGAGAAACCCTGTCTTGAAAAACCAAAAAAAAAAAAAGGAAAACAAAATAAAAACTTACTTGCTTTTACAGCAGCAACACTGAATATAAAAAGTTTGTGAAGGGATTCTAATCTGATTATGCATTTGACTAAGTTAGCATTTTAATGTTTGAAGCAAATTGTGTATTATTCATATCAGATAATACAACAGCATGGAGAAACTCTGAAATAATTCTTACCATTTAACTCTAGAAAGGGAAGGATAGAATTCAAAAGCAAAAAGTTAATATGTTACAGGAAAACCAATAGAATCAATTGATGTCTAAATAAGCAAAAGTAAATACATTATAAGCCTAAAATTTTAAATAAAAACTTCAGATGACTTATTGCTTAAATACTGTTGGATGATAAAAGAGTGGGAAAGAAGTACCAACACTTTCATGCCAAGAGGCAAAGTGTAATTGTTAATATGACATTCACAGGGAAACATACTGAAAGCTGACGTCTTTTATTCCCCATTTCTTAGCATATTGCACCACAAATATTTGCTAGTCAATAGGTACTCATTAAAAAGCATTAATACGGCCGGGCGGTGGTGGTGCATGCCTTTAGTCCCAGCACTCGGGAGGCAGAGCCAGGTGGATCTCTGTGAGTTCAAGGCCAGCCTGGGCTACAAAGCAAGTCCCAGGAAAGGCGCAAAGCTGCACAGAGAAACCCTGTCTCGAAAAACAAAAACAAAACAAACAAACAAACAAACAAACAAAAAGCATTAATACAGTTCACTGCATAAGAAACATCTAATTGAAATCAGGGACATGGGAAATGTAAAATCAAACCAATTTTCCAGTTCTTTTATGACTAAGAGTAACTTATGGATGAGTTTATTTTGACTTATGATTATAGAGAATGAGTCCATAATGACAGGAGAGGCATGGTACCAAATATCTGGATCAGGGAACTGAGAAGCTACTGCATCTTCAAATGTAAACCTAATGCACGGAGAATGAACAGAAAGTATCTCAGGCAATACAACATCAAAGTTCACCTCCAGTTACTTCCTTCCTTTGGTAGGGCTCCATCACTTGCCCCAAACAGTGCCACCAGCTGTGGTCCAAGTAATTAATTCATGAGCCCATAGGCATCATTCTCATACACATCATGAAAATGTCCTGCTTAACCAGAAGGAACTGATTTATTAAGAAAGATACATAAAGGAGAGAATAGAGTATATTCTATGACCTAGAGTCAGCCAATCATACATTAGGGCCATACTCATCTCAGATGAACTGTTGGATTCTAGTGGGAGATGAGGCAGTCACTCTTTTCAGTCATGTGCATACTGCTGATCCCATGAGATTTAGTAGATAGCTCCAAACTCTTGGTCAGTCAGAGTGCCCAGTTAAACTCATTGAGTCACAAAATAAAACTAAACAGGCCTCACTAAAGGAAAAAGACTTGAATCTGAGGAGGAGAGGGTTGACAGGAGGAGGAGGATATAAGAAACTTTTGAGAAGTGAGAGTAATCAGAATGCATTATATGCCTGAATGACATTTTCAGAGAATAAGCTTAAAATAAGCTATTTTAAAGAATGCTTTGCCTGAAAGAAATGACTTATGATTTTAACAGAAAAATATTGCAAGATAATGGTATATATACAGATATATATATACCATAAATATTGCAATATATATATATATAAACTACATTTGAAGATAAACATAGTTATATATACAGATAAATAAATACTGCAAAACATAAAAATGTTTCATCCTCCCACCTTTGGTCAGGATTTTTAGAACTCTTCCACAGATAAAATT